TACCTCGCAGGCGCTCGGCACTCGCATTGCTTATGAAGATAGTATTGCGCTTTACTTTGAAACATCTTCAAAAAGTGTTGCATTTGAAAGAACTGGGGGACTATGTTTTGTTGAACGGGCACGATTTAACAAAGGTGCATTTTTAAAAAGACCGCAGTATAACATGTGTAGAGAGTAGCCTTGAGAACGTGCTTAAAAGATCAGATCCCACAATGTGTTGTTTGGGGACAAGAAAAAAAAAGACAAAATGTTGTAAGCTCCTTATTCCCATATACTTGCGCGCCGGCATATCTACGCCACGCGGAAGACACGGTGCAGTCTACACGACATCATTCTCACCACATTCATTAGGCGCATGGTGGGGTCGGGCCAGGCGTGGCGTGGCGTGGCGGCCTGGCCCACGTGGGCTCGCGGCACCGGTGATCTATCAGCTGACGGCCAGAGGCGCGGTTAAACGTTTGGGCACGGTGAGAACAAACGCATACGTGCGTGCCTGCGTGCCCCCGATAAGAGGAAAAACGTCTCCCAAAACGAGGAATTCAAATAGGGGTGTAGTAGAAAAGTGAGTGCAGCTGAAATCTCTCGCCTCTGGAGGACACTCGAGGACACTCGTTCCCTCAAACCACGAAAGGGACACATTTTTAATCAGCAGGCGTGAATATTATGTTTACCTCGAACTGTGCATTATTTCAGTACATGTTATGATGGTGTACGGACACAAGCATGCGCCTATGCGACAGGTCGCCTCCCCTTTCTGTCTGGGCAAAAAGGTCGTTCCCACAGCCTCTTCCCCAAACCCATTCGTGCTCCACCGAAATCCTTTTCCTGCTTTGGTGTCCATCGCTGTGACGTAATGGAACCCCGGCCCGAGCTCGGGTCGTCCTTCACCGACTGACTGAACTAACTGAACACATGGTCATGGCTGGCTGCACCCCTGCATAACGGACTGTGCCGTACTTGTTACACTTAGTGCGAGGTCACAGATTAAACAATGCGTGTCACATGAGGCTGCGCGCCAGAGTGTCCCTTTACCTTCAAAATTATTAATGAAACGTACGAAACTTAAGAGGGTGCGTTTAAGGACACCTGTACATGCAGCTTTTGTCAAAAATAAGTTTTAGGTGTAAGTAGTAGTTATTGTAAATAATGCAACGTTTACCATCAATTATTGTTTGCTTGTTAGACTTTAGTTGAAGAAAATAAATAACACCCCTCTTTTCACCCAGGTGAAAGTGTAAACCCGCCAAATGCAGCGGTGCGTAGAGCGCGATTGCTCATGAACAAGCTGTGCAAACATTCGCACCGCTCTATCGGCAGGGCGTGTACCGCGAGCTAATAAATTATGCAGTATTGCGGCTCACACAAAGGGAGGCGGTTATTGAGTTTTACAGCCTCAAAGGATATTCTAGGGCCACCGTAGTGCACACGTAAGGCCAGTTAAAGATTTTTCCTATGAGCAAAACTAGATTTTTTATCATTTAAATGACTGTATTTTATTCAACAATTCGACGAATGGGTAAAAGTAGAAACTATTGGATTCGCACGCCTTACGCACGCTTCGTCCCCGTATAGCGGCGCTACATTACATGAGCGTTGCGCCACGAGAGCGCCATCTGAACGAGTCTTCGGGACGAGTCTGCTGCAGAGACGACCCGAGCGGAGAGTGCGGGCGAAAAAGTATAATGAGATGTCCCCGTTTACCGGCCAGTGTGGCCGTTGCTTTCGACAGAGCGAACCGCCTAAGTGACACGCTGCGCGCGGATAGCCGGCGCCGGCGGCCCTGCAAGACTTTCGTCAAAGTACAGTTGGCGTCAGGTGCGCACGGGCAGTCCTGCCAACCAACCACCCTCACCGCCGTCGCCGACTCGTCCGCCTAACAGCGTTCTTGCCGTGAAGCCATGTGATCCAGTCTCTCTTCGCTTTACCGAGAGGGACCCCGAATCTCTGCAGCAGCGCACAGTTGCCTGCAGCGCTGCGTGCAGTGACGCCTGCTCTGCCTGGTCCGTCGCAGACCCCCCCCCCCTTTCTGATTGTATCTAAAATGCGGCGCGGCGGTGGAATTTCGCCTGCCGGCTTATTCACATTCACACAAGCGCCGCGCCCGCCGATGCGTATCTATATTCATATATGGCCGTCGCGACGCACGCCGCGTCACGGGCCCATCGATAGGCGTCGCGAAGTCCTCCGGCTGGCGGGGCAGAGCCCGGGCAGGGCGCTCTGCTGATCTATTGGGTGGGCGGCGCTGGCGGCGCCGAGCGGGGCCCAGGCCGCTAACGAGGCGGGGTGCGGCGGATAAAACGCGGGCTGTTTAAATCCGCCGACGCCTTACAACCACTTTAACGTACGATAGGGACCACTCCCCCCACACCCCTACTCCCACAACGGGGGAGTACGAGTGCCGCTGTGTCTAATGCAGGGGTTTCAGAGAGCAGACGACGCGCGGGACGTCCACGATAAAAAAGAGTCTTGGGATTCCCAGTTGGAACCCCAGTGAATGCCCGGGAAACAAGCAATTAATCCCCGGGGATCTACTGGAAAACCCTGGGCATCCCCTCCTGGGGAAATTACACATTTCCAGGGCGACCCCGACCCCGACCCCCTGGGACTCTGCCAACTCCCCTGGAAAATAAAGAAAACTCCTGGGAATTCCAGGGTTTGTTTTTACCATGTCACGCCCGCCGCGCTAGCCCCGTCTCTGTCTCACACCAGGCCAGAGTGGCCCGCGAGCCCCAATCACTAGCTCACCTGCTCCTGCTTGGGCACGATGGACTGGACAGGAGGCGCCCCCTAGTGTGATCGACTGCGCTATCGACCGAGGAACTGGGCGGCGGCGGGCAGGTCACCGGGCCAGAGCTGCTCGCGCGCTAATGAAGCAGAGGCGGTCACACGCAGGCGCTCCCTCCCTGCTGGACCCGCATCGCGCCAAGTCATCTCAACGCGTCGCGCAAACCCCCCTAATTTGATTGCGGATAAGGTTGGCGATAGTTTTATTCCTGTCAGCGCGCGTCGCGACGAAATGCCATCGGCATCGACGAGTCGTTAACGGCGCGGCGCAAGGAGAGAAACTGTTCGGCGCGGGGAAAGAGAAGGGGGGAAGAGGAGCTCCCGGTGGTGGCCGCACAACCATTTCCCACGTGAGCAGAAGTGGCATACCAGGGTTTCAAAATACTTCCACCACGCGCTGGGGACAAGACCAGAGCAGCATCACAACATATCGCTCCGGAAAGGCGAGCGCCGCTGCTCCGAGCACCGCAAAGCTGCTTGTCGCGTCACCCCGAGCCCATTTCCCGCCCCTGTTCGGAGAGAGGCGCGGCGGCGCCGAGTTCAAACAACTCGACTAACGACGCGCGCCTCGCCTGACACTTTTTCTTCTCCGCCCCGACCTTATTCGGGCGGCCCCGGCGCGGTCACCGGTCACCACCAAGCGGCACAGCCTCTGCCGGCCTCTGCTTCCCCTTGCTGCACGCCCACGCCACCGGGCCCTGCGGCGCTGTCCCCGCGCGGGTCAGGCGCCGCCCCCCGCGACAGTGTCGTCTTCCCCCTCCGCGTATGGGGGGCGCCCGAGGGGGCACCCGGGAGGGGTACATGCAGGCGCCCGGCGGGGCCCACAATGCCTCCCCCTCTCGGCTTTTGTCCAATCTGCATGCCGAGAGCGGCAACGGCGCGCCGCGTCCTCTGGAGACAGAGATCGGGGGGAAGGGGGTGGTAGGTTAGCGAGGCTCTGCACGCACACCACCTGGGCCAATAGCGAGGACCACGAGGGGGCCATGGGGGGACCACGGGGGGACCCATGGGGGGACCCCGCGGCCGCGGGGCAAGCAGAGGGTCCCGCCAGGGCCGCGCCGGGAGGGGAGAGGGCACCTGAGGCCCTTATCGCCGTAGGCATGGCCTGGAGTTGCATAATGTCTCTCTGTACAGCAAAGCGGGGATGCCAAACCCCGCGCGGGTGTGTGTGTGTGTGTGTGTGTGTTGTCCTCGCGTCTCATTGTATAAAAAGGGTACGTCGGGGCTGCAGCCCGCAGTAGTGCCTGCCACAGCAGGCAGGAAGGGCAGACCATGCGAGTGCTAGTGGTAAGTTGTGTGTGCGCCGAACGACCCCCTCTGGATTAACGCCGCAGCGAAGAACCCAACTCCAACGCCCCGGGGAGGATTTAGTGTCGCGAGTGCGTCGATGTGAAGTGTCGCCCGGAGGGCAGCCACCGCGGCGGCGCGCCGGTGACGCCGGGTGGGGTGTGCGGCGTCGCCAGGTGCCGACGGGAGCAGCAGCTCTCGGTGGGGTGTGCACCGTGCAGTGATGATGCGTGCAGACAGGTGCAGCTGTCCGTCTGGCAACTTCGTCATCGTTCATATGAGGGTGCTGAAAGTTCATGAATCATGTTCAGCGTCCGGGCGAAACCGTTCTATGGCAAATCCATTGGATTCACTTGGGACAATGCCTTAGACTCTGCACTAAAATTGTATATTTCTGTAAATATTCTTACACTCCGCGTTAGACGCCGCATTACAATGTATCGCGAACGGAGAGATTGAATGCGTTTAGTGCGACGCGCGTGGTCAGCTTTGATATCTCCCCTGTCCCTCTAAATGCACAGCCACGTTGAACAAGTTAATGCCTTAACAAAGGCGTTAACGTTAGAATTGGCTAAGAATTTCCTTAAGAACGATGGAGAAATGATAAGCTTGTCATCTCAATGCATTGGATATCAAAATGCTCTTGCTTAACAAAGAAGCAAAATTATCTTGACTAAATGGGCAGGGGG